GATTCTGGGGAACCGAGCTTGGAGTAAAGTGTTTGGTGGTGCAGTGGTTAAGTGCTGGGCTGCACACCGAGAGGTCAGGGGTTCAAACCCACCAGGTGCTCTGCAGGAGAGGAGACCAGGAGGAAACACCTGGAGTTCTGCTCCCAGTAAAGATTTAAAAAGACGCAACCAAACTCACTGCTCTCAGGTTGATTCTGTTTACAGAGACCCTATGCGGGGTTCCCAAGGAGCCTTGGGGTGCTGCAGGCTGGGCTAGGGGCACCAAGCTGGCCCTCTGTGGTAGTTAGGTAATTTCATGTCAACATGGAGCTACCTAGAAGTGTAGAGGTGGAGTTTAGCCTGCCAATCAGGTCACAGCCTGATGGTGCCTCCTTGTGGGCGTGGCCTTCTCATAAGGAAGGTCCTGGGAACCTTCCCCACTCCCCCACCCCCCTTCTTGCTCTTCTGGCTGACCCTGGTTACCACCAGAGCCCCATGGTTACCACCACCACTGGATCCACAGGACTCTGCACCCACCAGCCTGTGATCTTCCTGCATTCGGCATCATTGCATGTGGCTGTGTGAGTCTGAAGAGGGACTGATGGACTAGTATCGGACTTATGGACTTGAGTTGGACTGGACTGGGATGTTTTCCTGATGCGCAGTTACTTCTTGATATAGAGCTCTTTCTTACGCATATGTGAGTGTCCCTGGATTTGTTTCTCTGGTCAAGCTGGCCTAACACACGGTCCTTGAGAGAAAGATGAGGCTGTCCGCTCCCGTCCAGATTCACAGCCTTGGGAAACCTATAGAGGTTGTTGTGAACCGGAGCCAGGATTCACTCAAGGACAGTGGGTGTGGTGGGTTTTGGACACAAGGTTTCCAAGATCGCAAGCCTTTATGGGAGCAGAGAGCCTCGCCCTTCTCCTGGGGAGCTAGAACCCCCGACCTGGTGGGTTAGCAGCCCACGCTTAACCCCTTGCGTCCCACCAGGCCTCCTGCCCTAAAGACAATTCTCTGTGGGGCTTTGCCACACGGGGTTGCTAGGAGTCAGGACTGAGTGAGGTGCAGCAGCAGAAAAGCCTGGAGATGTACCTCTGGAGAGCCAGCCATGGGGAGCCCCCAAGGGCACAGTTCTACGTTGACAAAGGGGGCCAGACTTGGGGCTTCCTGGCCCCTGCCCCCACCCCGCGGCCCGCCGGCCTGTCCGCCCACCAGCTCACTGTGATGTCGAAGGGCCGCTCCTGGCCGGGGATGGTGTTGAAGCAGTTGTGGAAGTTGAGGTTGTACTGGCCCTCCTCGGCCCTGGAGCCAATCACCACGTGGAACTGGGGGCAGGCAAGGAGAGGAGAGGAGAGGAGAGCTCAGCTGGGTGCCTGGCTAGTTCCTGGCAGGGTGGGCTGCCGCCAGGCGCTGCAGACACTCACGCTGAAGTTGTAGGTGTCACTGTGGTGGCCCAGGCCCAGCACCAGCTCCTTGTCCTTCCCACTGGAGTCCTGAGGGGACACGTATCTTGGCTCAGCATCCTTCAGCCTGCCCTGGGACAGGCCCCCAGCCACTCTCCCACCCTGCCTCTTCCAAACCTGCCGGCTTCCTTCAGATACCTGCGAAGGCTCGTCCTTGTTGCCCAGGGGGGGCCCTGTGGGATGAGACCAGCCAGGTGGCCGGGGTGAACGTGTAAGTGAGTTCAGAGATGGACAGAGAGACAAGACAATCGCCCCTCCCTGCCCTCGTGAGGCCCTGCGAGACTCACCATTGTCCACGTGGGGGGTGGCCGGGGGCCCTGGCTTCTGGAGCTGGGGGTCAGAGGACACCTCGGGGAGGAGGCCGGGAGAAATGAACAGCTCCTTCTGGTCCCCATACTTTCGCACCTGGACCCTGAGGGGAGGTGATGGGACAGAGGGGGAGGCATGGGGAGGTTGGCATGGGGGGCGGGGCACAACTTGTACCAAATCCCTGGAGCCGCCCTCGGCCCTCTGGGAGGCAGCGCTGGGGACAGCAGACTCTCATCTCTTGGCCATTGAGCGCCCTGCCGAGGCGGCTGCCAGATCCTGGGGCTGCCTGCTCTGGAGGGCCCTGCACCCTTTCCCACTCGCCCGCCTGCTTGCTCGCTTGCTTGACTAAGTGCATTCTCTAAAAAGAACCGTTTTCTAGGAGGCAACCGCTGGGGGGGTGGGTGGAGGGGTGGGAAGGGGTGAGTGGTAGGGGGAATGGAAGACATAGGGCAGCCTGGCGCACTAGAACCATTTGGCCAGTGGCCACTAAGACCCTCTGCTCCCAGGCTCCTGCTATGAGACCCCCATGCCCCCTCACTTCCTCCTGCCCAGGGAAAGGGACAAGGAAATGGGCTTCCACATGATGGTGTCAGTTGGCAGGTCCTCCAACACCAGGGGGGCAAAGGGTACTGGTTGGCGGGGGGCGGGGGGAAGTTGTGCCAGCCACCCCCCTGCTTTCCCTCTGCCCCAGCTCACTGCAGGTCCCTGGTGTTGATGAGGAAGACCACCAATGGGTTGCTGCTGTTCTTCTGGAGGGGGCAGTCGTGGGGATCCTGGGGCTGGGGCGGGAAGAGGGCGCTCCATTAACCTCCCCCTACGCCCGCCCCCCCTCCCCGTCAAACCCACCCAGGATGGTTTCCTTGGGTCTCCCACTTCTGGCTAAGGGCTGGGGGGTTTTGGGTTCCAGATGCAGAAGGCAGGCAAGCCCCCTCCACTCACAGAGTACGACCGAATGCTGCCAGATCGAACCCGGCTCAGGCTGAAGCCCACCTGGAGGAAGGGAAGGAAGGGGGTTTGGGGGTATGCGAGGGTCTCCAGTGAGCTCCTGAGCCATCCCTGCCCGTTGTCCCAAGAGAAGCTAAAGGTCTGGACTTGACTGAACACCTACAGCCTGCGTGGAATTTTCCAACAATCCATCCCACCCCAACCCTCCGCACTCTCATTTAACCCCTTAATCGTCTTGAGACTCCCTAGGCACCCTCAAAATTCAATTTGGGCATCCCTTCTTCAGGAAGACCTTCCCTCATTGGAAGCGACGATGGCCTCCCATCTCAGTTCTGGAAACCAGAACACCAGAAAGAAAGGCCTGGCGGTGCGAAAAGCCAGCCCTGGGAATGCATGCACAGCTCCGCTCCAACGCGCACCGGTGTAAGCCACTGTGACGCATCTGGGTGACTTATGAAGTCATTCAAAGCACCCCCCCCCACACACACACACAATCCTGTGTCTAGACCTGTGTAATTAATTGGGCTCCGGGAATTTCCCCCCAGCAACTCTGAGCTGTGGCTGTTGGAGGAGCAGGGGTGGGGGAATTGCTTTGCATGTTACCTGGTGGCTTCCTGGTGTCCCATCTCAAACTCAAAGCCACCAACTCCGTTCCAACTCACAGCGACCCTGTAGGACAGAGTAGAACTGCCCCTGTGGATTTCTGAGACTGTAACTCTTCACGGGAGTCAAGAGCCTCATCTTTCGCCCTTGGGAGCGGCTGGTGGCTTCAAACTGCTGACCTTGCGGTTAGCAGCCCAATGTTAACCACTACACCACCAGGGTTCCTCCACTCATGCTTGCTATTCATTTTAACTGGTGAGAACAGTCTCTGCGTTGGCTGCTAAATGCAAGGATGGAGGTTTGAATCTACCCAGAGGGACCTTGGAAGAAAGGATTGGTGATGAAGTTAGAAAGAAACCAAACACCAGCCACGAAGCGCTGGTCTACTCTCAAACACATGGGCTAGGCTGGGCGGCAACTGGTATTGCTGCTCATTTTCATTAAGAATCGGGGTTCTCTTGTTCGTTACTTTGCTCCCCCAACTCTCATGATCAGTGTCCTAGGATCTGTTGGATGGGATATTACAGTCCCAAATTAGGAAAGAGGAAACTGTGGCTCAGAGGGGCCAAAGGACTGGCCGGAGGTCAGGTGAGGGTGGCAGAGCTGGTCCGTACACCCAGAGGCAGGGTCTTCTCACCAGCGGGCTCTTCTCTTCCGCTTCCTGAAGGCCCAGCCTCAGGAGACTCAGCTCCACCTCCAGGGAGCCGTTGGCATAGAACCCAAAGCTGTTCAGCTGGATGTCCGCTCGCTTCTCCCCCTGCCGGACACCAAGGAGGAAGAGGCTACTCAGACTTGCCCTGCCTCGGGCCCTGGCCTGAGGCCACCCAGAGTCAGCCCGTTCTATCAAAAAAACACAAAACCTCACTGCCATTGAGTGGATGCCAACTCATAGCGACTCCTTTGGGGCGCAACAGGTGAGCACTCTAAAAAGGTTGGTAATTCACACCCACCCTGCGGTTCTGGGGGAGAAAAACCTGGCCGGTCTGCTCCTATAAAGATGGCTAAATCCAACCCAGCCCCAGGCCACCAAGTAGTTCTAATCCACCTGGATCCTATAGGCCAGAGTGGAACTGCCCCACAGGGTCCCCGCAGGTGAAAATCTTTATGGAAACCGACTGCCATGCGTCTCCCCCTGGAGTGCTGATGGCTTTGAAGCGCTAACCTTTTAGTGAGCAGCAGAGAACTTAACCAACTGCCCCACTGGGCAAACCCAATGTGACAGTTCCACTCTGTCACCTAACGACTGGATGGCATCTAACTAAAGCAACAAGGGGTGCTGGGGGGGAGGGGCAGGCGGGAAGCTGTGTCCCGATCAATGCTATGCAGGGATAGGGTGTCCCTGGGGCCTCTGGCCTTTGTCCTGAGAGTCCAGGACCTGGGGCATCTGCAAGTTCACCCAATAGATGGACCTCACCTCACAGCGCGAGGGCCGGCGGACATATTCATCTCAGGGTACCTGACCCTAGCCTCACCAGAAACTAGATTTCAACTGAGCCCCTCAAATCTCAAAGAATGCCCCCAAGGACCCCACACCCGATCCAGAAGGGTATCCTTTTACAGCCCTCAAGGCTCCCTAAACCTGCCAAACGTGATACCAAGAATTTATAGGACTGAGAGAACTGTGGGGTCCCAGGAGGTGAAGCCCCGCCCCCAAGGGGTAGGGCACGACCCCGGGAGGCCCGGTCGGGCAATTCCACCCGTAGCAGCCTGAGGGACCGGACAAAACCATTTCAGGCCTGGGGGCGGGGGGCGCCAGATCACCCTATCCTGCCTAAGGAGCAGGGGAGGATGGACGAGACCACTCCAACCTGGGGGCTTCTCCCGAACCAAGCCGCACCCCCTCGTCCTGGAACACCGCACGGCGGGTCTCACCGTCAGCGTCAGCCGGTGGATGCGTCCCGAGCAACCGCCCAACAGTAGCAGCAGAAGCAGCCACGGCCCCCACTCCGCGGGGCTCCCGCGGGAGAGCCCCCTCCTATCTCTCACTGCCATCTCTGGAGCTACCGCCTCCTCTGGCACCGCCTCCTCCGACACGCTCAGGCCCGCCTACCCATCAGCCAATCACCATCCAGCACGGCCCGCCCTTGGGGCTGTGCCAGTCCTCTCAGCCAATCAGCAATCCTCTTCTCGCGAGCCCAACACTAGATGGACTGCACCGACTTCAAATGGGAGTGCTAATACACTTTAACACCGCCCCCCTACTTTCACCAACCACCAGAGAGATAATCCCGGATGTAATTTGATAAACAGTCGATTGAACCAATTATGATGGCTCAGATATCCGGCCCCGTGAAGCGGAATTCCTTTTAACTGACAGACCGAGCAAGACCACGTTTCCCAGAATGCAGCAGGAGCAGTCGACCCAACAAGGCAAGAAAAGAACTACATTTCCCAGCATCCTTAAGGACAGACTTCCCCCTTCTTACCCGGGGACCTGGCTGCCGGCCAGAGCTCAGTCTTTGGGTAAACACACTCATCTGCTGAGGCCTGTCCTGTTCTTCTAGTCTCCCTGGTCCACTGAGAGGCCTAAGTCTGGCCCTAGGATATATCTTGGCCCTAATATGATCTGTGATCCCAGGCTGAACCCCCTTACCCACGGCTGAAAGCTGATCGCAAATCAAATCTCATACACCCCTCTTGTGGTTAGACACCCCTCTTAGGGCTCACACAGGGCCCTAACCCCTGATTTAGTCCCTGGCTTAGATTGAGTCCTGACACCTGACTAGTTCCGACGCATGATGGGTTGCTCCGCAGTCAGAGACACCCACGAACCTAATTGTATTGCTGATCTGGGCTGAACCCCAAGTCCTTTTTGAGACTCTAACCCGGATGGAATCCAGAACTCAGCTCCAATCCAGACAGAGCCCCTGAGTTCAAACACTCGGTGAGGCCCTGACTCAGTCTAACGATATTTGGGGTGCAGCCTTGTTTGTATGTAGCTGTGACCCATGAGCCACCAGCAGGTGGGGCCAGGTCCCAGCAGAGTTCTCTTCCAAGGCTCCGCAGTAGCTCTCCGGCTCCGGCTCAGAGACTCCTAGAGGGTGGGGGGGAGGGGATGGTTGTGTGTGTGTGTGTGTGTGTGTGTGTGCACGTACGTGTGCTCGCGCGCGTCCGCTTTTTCATCCCAGCGCCTCAAAAGGACTTACAAGGTGTGAATAGACTTTTATTGGGGAGTCGGACAGACTTCAAAGCCTGCGTCTGGAGGAGGACAAAATAAAGATCTTGGGTCAGACCCGCAATTAAATCTGAATGGGCCTTAATAGATAAGACTGGGAAATGGGCAAGTGCGAGCACCAGGGAGCTGGGAACTGGCCAGGAGCCCCAAGGACGACCCGTCCTGGGTTTCCCAGCGGAGGCTGAAGGCAGGATGCGGTGGCGGAGGCGCGTCCCGGGACAGAATCGAAGTCCTCCTATCCGCCTTGTGGCCGGAGGGACCAGACCATTAGTGGGACGAGCTGCTGGACGCCAGGAGCCCGGCCGGCCCTCAAGAGCCCGGTGACCTCAGATTCTCCCTGGGACTGGGTGGGTCGGGGCAACTTCTTGGATTGGGATTTTAGTGTCTTGGAGCTTTAAGGAATGGCTGAAAGGGAAGGAAGAAACAGTTCGGGACCGAGGAAGTTGGAAAAAGAAGGGGTCTGGGATCTGGGAAATAGGTAAGGGTCCTTTAAAGAGTGGCTCCCCAGGCGTCTGATGGCCGCGTTCCTTAGGAAGAGGCGGAGCGTTCTCCTGGCCCCACCTCCATGGGCCCCGCCCCCAGGGAGTCTGGGCTTCGCCTCCGCACGAGTGGGGGCGTGGCCGAGCATGCAGGGCGTGCTTTCTTTCTGGAGTGGGCGGGGAATGGGCGGGGCACGGAGGGCTCCCCGCCTTGGGCTGAGTCTCCCGGCGGAGGGTGCGGGCGGGCGCGGGCGCGGGTGCGGGCGGCGGCTTTGGCGGGAGCAGCATGGATTGGGGCACCGAGCTGTGGGTGAGTCTGGTCTTCCTGACTCCAAGTTCCCCCTCCCTAGGGTCCTGGCGCCCCGCTTTGCCTTACTGGGCTTTAGTGAGAGGCTCGGAGCTGTGGCGTCCACAGACACCCCCCGCCCCCCCCTCCCCGTCTCCACCCTCTGCACTCTAGGAGTTTGGCTCCTGCACGCTCGAGGTTGAAGAGAGCGACCTTGCGGGAGCGCGTAGGGAAACTGAGGCACCCGCCTGCTGAGGCGGGCAGAAGAACTCCAGAGACTAGGCCGGGCGAGGTCACCTATTTTGGGCACCCTGACCCGGCCGGCGGCTTATTTTACGGCCCCTGGGTTCCTGCCCGCCGCCCGCCTGTCCTCCTGAGCGGGGGAGGGGGCCCTCTGGCCAATCTCTTCCTCACGTGGTACCCAGAAGTCTGGACTGCCCTCTCTGTCGCTTCCCGGGGCTTTGGGACACCTTGGGGGCAGGGAACTGCGAGGTTCGGTCCCAGCTCCATTCCCCAGCACCTGGCCTCTTCAACACCTCCCCCACCCCATACCACCCCCGCTCCCGCCGCCCTGGGAGCCCCCAAAATTTCCTTCTTCCCTAGCCCCGACCTCTGACCCCTCCCCTTTCTCTGGGCTGGGGGATCATTGGGTCCCTAGTTGCTTTGAGATAGCTAGATTGTCCCCCTCAACTCTAGGTGTCTTTAGGAGGTGCCGTAGGGTCACTGGGGGAAACTGAGTCACACATCAGGGGACCTCGAGAAGCACAACGATTTGGGAAACCTAACGACGGCCCCCCGCCATTCTGGGGCCCCCCCAAGTTGCGGGAACCCTGCCCCTCTAGCCCTGACTCACGCTAGGCTGGCCGGCCGGATTTTCCGGAATCGGGGGGATTAGGGGAGCTGGGGCAAGGGGAGGGCCCTGCCCCACTCCACACCCGTCTAGGCCACTCGCAGACTGGACCTTGTCGTCTTGTTGCGGCCCCGCCCCTGTTCCCCGGCCCTTCCCGGGAAGGGGAGGGGGTTCCCGCCGATTTCCTGCCTCCCGCCGCCCCCCTCCTTGCGCTGCGCAGGGGCGGACGGGCGGGGCCGGGAAGCCACGCCTGCCTGGAGCTCCCAACCTTGGAATTCCCAGGGTGGTTTGACGTCCCAAAGCTTTAGGGTCCCAAAGTCCTGACGCCGGGGTCCCCACCGCCTCCCCACCCCTCAGGATCAGTTTGAGGTGCTCGAGCGCCACACGCAGTGGGGCCTGGACCTGCTGGACAAATACGTGAAGTTCGTGAAAGAGCGAACGGAGGTGGAGCAGGCCTATGCGAAGCAGTTGCGGTGAGACTCTAGGGAGGACCGGCCCTGGGGCTAGTGGGCGTGGCTGGAGGCTGAGTCCCTCCTTCCTGTCACCTTAGGAGCCTGGTGAAAAAATACCTGCCCAAGAGACCTGCCAAAGATGACCCCGATTCCAAGTAAGCATGGGGAAGGGGTGGTCCCGCTTCTCCCCTCAGTTGAGCAAACTCCAGGGAGCAAACTCCCTCCTATTAGCCTAGAGCTGAGCGAAACTAGCTTAAAGCCCCTTACAATCTCATGAGTTTTTAACTCACAGCGACCCTGGGGGACAGAACAGAACCCACCCTTAGGGTTTCTAAGGCTGTAAGTCTTATAGCAGCCGTCGGCCACGTCTTTCTTCCACGGAGCATCTGGTACAGCAGTTCTCAACCTTTGGGTTGTGACCCCTTTGGATCGCCAGATTCATAACAGTAGCAAAATGACACTTATGAAGTAGCAACAAAAATAATTTTATGGTTGGGGGGGTCACCACAGCATGAGGGACAGTATGAAAGGGGCTCGACGTTCAGAAGGTGAACCACTGAGCTGGTGGGTTCGAACTGCTGACCTTGGCCGCCAGGGCTCCTCCTTTGCTCACAGCGGGCTTCGGAAGTCCCTCAGACTTCTCAGCCTCAGCGTTCCTCACTGCTCAATGGGGAAAGGATCCCTGTCGTGCCGTTGTCCACCCTTCTGCTAACCAAAGGGTGGGTGGTCCCAGCCTACCCGGAGCATGTGGCAGAAAGACCTGGCAGTCTGTCTCCGTAAAGATGACCGACTGCCTAGAAAACCCGTGAGGCAGCAGTGCTCTGTCACCTGGGATGAATATCCCTTGGGATCAGCTCCATGGCACCCCCAAAACAACAACAATTCTAAGTGGGAAGGCTCCAGCAGCTGCTTGGGGCCAGTTTGCGCCTCTGTTTCACTCATCTGCGAAATGGGTAAGCGGCCGCTGGCGCTAGCTAGGGGTCCTGCTCCGAGAACTCGCCTTGTAAGAACAGAGTCTGGCCCTGAGCCGTGCCAGCCCGCCGAGTCTTTCCATTGGCTGGCTGCCACGGAGTTGATTCTGAGACAGCAGCGCTGCTCTGGGCGGGCAGACTGGAGCTACCCCTTGGGGTTTTCAACTCTGATTTGTTGGAAGTGCAGCGCCAAGCCTATGTCTTCCGATGCCGCTCTTGGGTGGCTTCGAACTGCCAGCTCTTCAGTGGGCCGTCTGGCGCATAGCCGTTGTGTCCCCAGGGGTCCTCCCGACTTTGTTACCAACCGTAGTTTCAAAAGCTCTAGAAATGTTCTCCTGTAGTTCTCTTGAGGGCAGCAACCTCTAGCCCAAACTGACCAAGATGTGGATTGTAATCTGTGGCTTTGCTATTTAGCGTGACTATTAATACCTCATTGCAAAATAGTAATAATCACGATGCTTGATGACAGGGTCTGCCCCTACTCCCCTGGAGGGGACATAACAGATAGTACCTACCTGCTTTTTGGCTCCTTCTTACAACCCAAATGCTTCCACTGCCCTTCCAAGCTGTTATCTGACTCCAGGGCTGGGAGCGAGGGGGTCAAGGACCAAAGTCACCATTGCCTTTGTAGGGGGGTGGGGATGTGAATGTTGAGGGCTTACCGTTCCCCCCCCATCTGGAGGTGGGTCCCAGAGGTGCCTGGTTCTTAGGGGGCCTGACTGCCGGCCGCCTGCCCCCCCCTCCCGCCCCCCCTACCCCTCCACCCCAGGTTCAGCCAGCAGCA